GAAGTCAACGGAGAAAGTGTTCTGATATTTATTACTTGATCATTTATTCTTTAGTACTTGCAAAGAACGATCGACTCATGGTTACAATGTTTGAAAGGCAGAATGAGGTGAAACAAACAAACTCAATTTTTATAAACCCTTTAACTCCAATTAACTTAGTCCTTTTGTGATTTAATTTCTTTATCGAAACAAATTTTATGGAAATACAAATTATATACCATGTGCTTAAAAAAATCATGTTGCAAATATATTATAATAAATATATACTTCTGCATATCAAGGCTTCAAATTTTTTAAAAATCTTCCTTAGTTTTCTGTTATTTGTTGCTTTTTTTTGCTACTTTTCCGAGACGTACTACCATGCTTAAACCGTTAACGACCGGTCATCTATTTTTCATTCGATGATCCATCGGCTTAAAAAGGTAATTTGGAAATGACCTTCATCTCAGCAAATTCCTGGAATCGAGTATGACCAAAAGACAGAACCAACACCGTTATTACTATCTGTTGATATTTGCTGGCATTAGGATTGTTGTCGCATGAATAACCTCTTGTTTATTCCCAGGCTTATTTCAGAATACGACACCTGACATTTTAGTATTACTCAATACCTTTTAATATTAATGGGAAATCTACCCACGTCATTGGAATTCGATGCTCTAATAAGGATAATTATTGTTTTTATACCGTTTTCCTTTCATTCGTTGAAAATAACTTCGCTAACCAGAATTTATCGATCATAAAATAGTGGTGGGTAGTTTTCTGCATAGGATCAGGCATTTGGCTTATGAAGAAATGGGCTTTAGTAAAATTTGATATTTTGCAGTTGTGCACAATTCAATCTTATATCTAGTTTTTCATATACAGGGAGGTGAAGTTACAAATATAGAAGCTTCAAAATGTGTTGTACAGTCTCGACCATAAAAATATGAATTAGGTTTTCACTTGTAAATAAATGAGATTTGTAAGTACCTGCGTGGCTCCTGATTGACAAAAAAAGAGCCCTCGTACATCCCCTTTCATGGCTTAATTATCCATCATCGAATATTAACTTTCTGACATTTTTGGTAAATCTGATGTCAAATGTTCTGAGATTATGTAAAAAGTTATTTATATGAGCTAACCACTTACCCTAGCTTCTGAAAATACAATTACCCTAGGTTCCTCTTGAAATAGCTTAGCCAAATCCTCAGCTAAAACTAGCTGAGGATTCACACTATCATCCTCAGACTCTAACTAAATCGCCATCGCCAAATTTCTACACATTTCATCTACAATAAGTGGAGCAACGCCACTAACATCTCTACGCTTCTAAAATCTTATTTATTTACAAGTGAAAACCAATCAAAAATAGAAAACGTCTAGCGATAAAAGCTAACTTTACAATTTTAAGATGGAGATTGAACGACCCATCTGGAAGTTTTATAAAAACATACTTTTAAGCATTTCTATAGCAAAAAATGTATTTAGAAATGTCTTTTAGAGGGTTAAAAATAAAATAAAAATTTAGCCCGTTTATTTATTGTCGGATTTATCTACACACATACATATTAACCAACCAAAACAGTGTATTTTCTATCTAGTTAAATAACGCTCTGAATTTTTGTATCACACCCGGTATTTTTTAATGATATAATAGATAATATCAACTCCACAAGAATATCGAATAAAGAGTGACAAACAGAGTCGTAAACGTTTGTAATACAAAGCTGAGTATATGAGTAGGAAGGAAACAACAGCGTCTAATAAATAACCAATAGTCGTAACGGGAAATCGATCTCTTTAACGACTAAACCCATTTCCTGTTATGTCTAATAGTCCGGACTAGTGACAGTAAGGGAAAATAAAACGAACAACGGCCGAAGATACCTTGTCAGCCTAATGCCCCCCACTGTACCATTATAAGGGCTGTTTTTATTTCGACTTCTGCTGCAACAACAGAAAAGTTTTCAACTTAAATTGAATTGCGAATACGTCTATAACAATTCATTTAGTAAGTCGTCATTATTTTGAATATAATGGTAATATTATTTAACGAAATTAAGTCTGTTCTGTACTTTAAATGAATATTATTATGTCAGTTATACCTACTTGAAAATAATTAAATGCAATGTATTATCAATTTCCCATCTAATTTAATTACTCCATTACAATCACGTGTTTCAACCGCTTTACTAATTTTAAGGATATGAGTGACTTTTGATTTAAAACTGACATTCTGACAAAATTACAGCTGCCTTCCTAGATTTAAGAAAGTTTTGATTTAATTTAGACTCTTCAAAACTAGTCTGGATAATATCGAACTGATATTTGGAGTTTCAACTGTCCCACATATAAAAGTTCTCTAAAAGATAATTTTGAGAACAATCGCGGATTATGTATTAAATCATTTAAACTCACAGATAATATTACAGCAAACTAATTGTTATCAAAATTACATATCAAATAATTAAATGCTTTTAAGGAGTCTATTTAAGTTGATTCAATCTACACGGACTTCTCAAAGGCTTTTGAATTTGCATATTACTAAAAATATTGTTTGTTCTTGGCATAAATGGTAACTCATACAAATGGTTAGAACTAGACGTACATGGAGTGTTCGAATTCTCAGTTATGTTTCAGTTCTTCTTGTTGACAAATTAGTGTTACCACAAATTCATACTGCGGACCGATATTATTTTGTATATTTATTAATGACATTTATCAGAACATAGTAAACTCGAAATTTTTTTATAGCGAAATAAAAAAATTTCATTTAAAGCAAACCAATGGATTGAGATCATTTTGCAGTAACCTTTAATCTAAGTGATAAGGTTATTCAAAGAGAAACAAAGACGACATTAGCAAAACGGAAAACCAATTGGGAAGGTTTTCAAAAGGACTTAACAAATACTAAAATACATGAAATAATACTCAAAGCCATAGTCACAACAATAATATGTGCGGCCGTTTCTCTTTCGATAACAACTACTCCTTTGGCTAATAACTTACCAGGTATTGAATTACGTCGAAAGAAAATAGCAGAGATATTTTCAACACTCTATCTTTGATTGTGCCCACTAAGGAGAAAGACATTCTTGGACCGGTTTCGTCCTTATTAGGACACTTCAGCAAGAAATAGAAATTCTCGACTCCAGTCTCTAATGGAGTCTGATTGCAATACTAATTTCGAACGAACTCAATTACGGCGGGTTGAGCATGAGTAGATATTTAACGAGCGAAAATGCTATCGCCATCTATACTTAGTAAGCAAAACAAAGGTCGCTGTAGTACCTAGTTTAAAGACTAGGTAGAATAAAAGCCAGGCGGGCTATTCTTAAAAAAAAGGAAATAATTTCAAACTCAAATGTGACTGAGATGTAAAATACATCAAATAATACTCAAAGCCATAGTCACAACAATGTGCGGCCGAGAAAAAAAGACAGAAGGGTATATAAAAGAAGGCATGCAGAAAGATGCAGAGTTGCAACATAATGGTAAAGTGAATAAAATAAACAATTTCTAAGAGATGGGAGCATCAGAGTCGAAGGACAGAGGGTCAAATTCGTATAATCGATATAGTGGGATGACAAAATTCCACTCCAACCATAGTGGGGGACAGTATGGTCCAAAAGCAACCAGACATTGGGGTTCACATTCAAATAATGGTAGGGCAAAATTTAGTAGCTGTGGTAAGAACCACCTAGGATACTGTAAGTATTCTCAATTTATTTGTAACTTATGTAAAAAGAAGGGACATTTAGCAAAAGTCTGTCGATCCAAATTTAGAACTCAAAACTTTATAAACAAAGACACAGAAGTGGTTGTAAATGATTGTGAAACTTTGTATGATTTTAAATTTAAAATAAACATTGACGGGTTCGAATATGAACTGGAAGCGGATTGTGGTGCAAGCGTTTCGTGTATTAATGACAGGATTTATCGGGGACAATTTGCTAAATATCCATTAAAATCAGATAATAATATTTTAAAAAGTTATGTGCAAAATCAGAGTTTCTCACCATTAGGGTATTTTTGGTGTGAGGTAACACTTAATAAAAAGACAAATAAAGTTAAATTTTATATAATCACAAACATGGGTCCCATTATAGGCGGTAGAGACTTTTTGGACATTTTTAATATAAGATTGCAAGAGAGGACCAATTAGTTTCAAATATCCTTTGATAAAATCAAGGAAAGTTTGCTTTTTAAAAATTATAACCACAGGAGGATATTGGAGCTAAATGTTTGTTATGTTCAAAAAGTATGTCTATAGTGAGGGCAGGATGGTGACTGTCGATGGCTTTCTCTACTTTACATGAGCTTACATTTGAAAAAACTAAATCAAGTAAACGACCAATTCTCGTTCAGTACTTCATTATATTGGTTGAGATCGTCAACGAAGAAGCACTGCAATTACTGGACAACTCTACACAACAGAAAGCTCAAAAGGAAGAAGCCATTTGAGCTAGTACAGTGAACGTTAATGTTAGTGCCAGTGTAAATCAGTGTAATAAATCGTCACGCCAACTTATGATGCCTTCATATAGACATAATTAAGACAGCCTAACGGGAACTTCTTAGATAAGTAAAAATAAGTTAGTCAATAATGACTAGTAACAATACTCTTAAATGTCTCTTTAGAATGCTGCCTTATCGTTGCACAATTTTAAAGCTCTCAATAAATACAATTTTATATTATGGAATCTTCACAATTTATATTTACAAAATATAAAAATCAGTTTAATTTAATTTTAATTTTTTTTATTATTCTATATTTTTATTTGGGGTAATCCCTTTAATTAAATAATCTATTTTATATTAAAGAATTTCCTGTTTTGTTTCGCATTTAGTGAAAATTCTGCCCACACAGTGCGGTATCCGCTTATTAGATTTATTTTTAACAGTATCAGGATAGTAACAGGAATCCCTGTATGATAACAAAAAATTAGTAATTTACAATTTACTGTTTATGTTATATTAGCATCCTTTAACCCTGTACGTCTTATCAAAAATAAAACAGATAAATATATATGGCACTATAAAAACTCTGTGATTAGTACTCAGTGTAGCACTTGTGTATAAACTTTAATTTTCGACTCTTCAGCACCATGTTTTCGAAATATCTATTTGGATGTTTCTGTATAATCTTTCTAATAATAAATAGTGCTAGTACCAATCCATTGGGAAGTTACGTTCCTATAAATGGTAAGTGATCAACAATTCAAATTCAAATAAATACCACATAAAAATATTTTTTATTAAAAATTGAAGGTGCAACTAGTTTTGAATCATCAGGCCTATAATATAAAAATTCTCAGAAAACTGGATGACATTTTTTAAAAAATTATTTTCTACTTCTATATTATAAGTTGTTAATTAAATGCTAATTTTCAGTTTCATAATGATACTCATTAAAACACTGGTTTTCATTATGAAACTAAAAATCAAATTCTCCATTCAATTGATAATACAAATAATAAAATTCATATTAATTTGCCTTCTTCATCTACGAATACAAATTCGTTTGTGACTTAAGATGGTACACCTCAAGTATTTTTTGATAATCGTACTATTTAAAATTTGTATTTAAACAAAATTTTTTAAAATGTAGTTTATAATTTATCTTGTTTTATGTTACTTATAAATTCGTTCATGTTTATTGTTAATAGTTAAATTAAGATCATAATTATTATATTGGTTATTGTGTAAGAATAAAAATTAAGTCGAAGAACTTATTTTTCTTTTATATTTTCTTTATTGAAAAAGTGTTAAAAAATTAAAAAATAAAGCAATGTTGTGTAGTTTCTTGGTCGTAGAAAAAATAGTGCATGCAACTCTCTTTTAATGGCTATTAATACATGATCGTTGCATAATATACTATTATAATATAATATTGAACAAGATTACCGTAACTTAAAAAATAACTGGTATTAAAAGATAAAAGATATAGTGAATTCTGTAACATGTGATAAAAATAATTTAAAAAAAGTTAAAGATATAAAAAAATAATATGTAACACCAATATGTAAACCGAGCTTTCGTAGTGGTTACCAAAAATTTTAGTCATAAAAAATAGTTTCTGATGTATTTTTGGCAACAAATATTAATATTAGTAGAAAATTATTTAAAATATTTGGCGTGAAACAATTGAAAAAAATAATTAAACAGCTAGTACATATTAACAGTCATAATTTCTTGTAGTCCTTTTCTTATTCATTTGTAGTTTCTTTGTAAATATTTTATGATTTCTTTTTGTATGGATCATCTCTACGCAATATCCAACACTAGTGTACCAGCATGTTAAGATTGCACCTGCCCTGGTGTCTTCTTTTTATCACCTTGATTTATCAGTTCCATTGTCCTTCATTAAAAACTTCAACGAAGGCTACATTTTCTTTCCACTGGTATTTCAACGTACCTACTTACTGTTAATATCCAAAAGTGTAGTTTTCAAGAAATGTGTAAACAACATTCAATCGTCGATTTCATATTTTGCGTTAAAAAACCCAGCACATCTATTAAGAAAAAGTGGAGATCTGTCTAATATCAATGTTAAATGTCAACTGAAGAAATATCTCTTTATTCTAATATTTTGTAATTAATTTTATAACATGTTATAAAATTCTATGAATATAAAAAGGGGTCAAGACATTTCCTCTACAGGGCTAGTCGCATTTTTCTATGATTGCGACTCACTCTGTGGAGGAACCTATAGTTTTGACCCCTTTTTATATTCGTGAAAAGCCAAAAGATGTAAGCCACAAAAAACTAAAATCGATTAACTTTCCCTTCGAATAATTAGTAACAAATAAGTTTAAAATTCTGTATCTTAAAAATCAGTCATGATTTGAATGGACCCGTGGACATTTTCTACAAGAGGTGTGCAGGATCTTCTGCTTATCAATCCTGGAAATATTGCTACAGTAATCTAAATCACCTTCCCTGGCAAGTAAGAAGGAGACTATTGTTCTATATTTAAACCATGAAAAAGAATTGCCAAAGGCTAGAATATTCAACTCGTTTAGTTTGGATCCTGCCTCCCTATCTTGTCTCAAAATTGGAACTTATGCGACAATTTATTTACCATAATAGTGAACTTATTATTATTAACTTAATGGATAACATTAGGAATTGAGTAAAATACCAAACTTAATCTGTAATTTGAATTGTGTTGAGATTTTTGTCCTAATATATTTTTTTCTACACCCGTATTATAATAATGCACTTACGAGTATATGCCCATAATCCGGTTCATAATGATACCCATTATGAAACAGATTTTTCATAACGAGACAGATTTTTAATCAATAGAAACTTATAATTTTTCTAATCAAGCATGCTGTGCATTTGGCGTTTGTCCTAGGTTCCTATGTAATTGTTTTAGTCAAAATCAGTACGTATTAATTTTTTCTAAAAACTTTAAAAAAATTCTGTCCGAAAAAATCGCGTACGTTGAGAATAAAGTATAGATTGGACAGAAATGATCAAAATTGCATTTCGTTGTATAGTTTTTTATGCTTTTATACTTTGTATGAGCGCCTGTCCTAAATATGTCAACACAATCTAGTAACACTATTAAAGATATTGGTATTATTCTTGATCCATTTTAAGCTTTTGGCTCGTTTCGTATCCCGATTAATGCTCGTGTATTAATAACTATCATTACATGATCGTTGCATAATATACTATTCAGTTAAGAACTATTATATTTAATAAAACTTATTATTCTCATATATTTAAAATAATATCAATCATAAAGGAATGCACTGTAAATATTTAAATAAGTTATGGACCCAGACTTCGAACTAAAATAAATAGAAGATTAAAAAATATATCTATAAAATTATCAGCAGTTGTTCTACTAATTCACAGTTACAAAATTGACAAAGTTTAAGTCGTACTTGCGCAGTACTGTTCCGTGGCGTAGTTGTTTTGCTGTGGCGGATGGTGTATAAATGCTGTAGAGCTGCAGCACTGCTAAAAAATTCACTCATCTACATCGGAATGGTGGCTTCGAATCCTACTGAATACCATGTGAATGTATTTGCATGGTTCTCTATAGGATTTGATGGATGCTGTATTAGCAAATTTAATTTATGTTGTTATGACATCCAGATTATAAAAATCGCCATGCGTTATCGTTTCAATGATGCTGGGTGGAGTTTTCCGGGTTTTTCTCACCTGTGAGTCAAATTACACCATCAATCATCTTTAGGTCGCCCCGGAGCGCCACGGCAAATAATAATAATAATAATAGGCGTCCCTTCCCCTACACAAGTCGCTCAGTCGGCTTCAAGAGTTAAAATTCACTCGCAACGAGGTGAATTAGGGAGAGTATAATTATTACATTTCACAAAAATTATTTTCGACATTCTAAAATATACCTAAAATAGATTTTATGGATAATTAAAATTATGTCTAAAATAATTTCTGTTAAATGTAGATAAAATACTTGCGTTTTTTTTGGTAGTTCTACAGCTCTACAGCATTTATGCACCAGCCGCCACTAAATATAGTAGATAATTATTTATTTACGGGCAAGCCCATTTCAATTACAAATTACAATTTTAAAAATTAATTAAAATATCACAAATATTTTTGGTGCTGTAGCACAAAGAGATTATACAACATGTCATACGGACTTTAGGAATATTTAAAATAAAATAGGTTAGAAGAAGGTTAAAAAAGAGAAAATTCACAGTAAACCATTAGCATTAAAGCTCAGTTTTAAGTAATTGAGTTTTGAATGATGAAAAGGGAATATTAAAGGGACTGAGATCTGTGTGCAAGTTAGCTAATATTTCTTGGAATGCAGCTGTTAAAAGCTTGATTTGAACTATAAAAAGGTACATAAACTGTTTGCAGTTGCCTGGTTCAATGAGTTTAAACAAGAATATTTATTGTTTCAAGACGTTCTGGACAATTACATATACTAATAGCAAAGTAAAATCTCTTTGTTTTGTATAGTTTTCAAGGACAGGATGTTCAGAAATTATATTCACAATGAACACCCAATTTTGAAGCTATAATATGTCTGAGCAAGTTGTGCTGAACACTGTCTATTTTCCTACTATATGTTATGTAGTTGTGTAATTATAATCATTGGCCAACCTTTTGATAAAATCCAACAATTTCATGAATTTGTGGACAGCAGCAGATATGTGTTGATTAAAGCTTACAATGGGATCAAGAATAATTCCAATATCTTTAAATTAATAAACAGAGTGTTGCTAGATTGTGTTGACAGATTTAGGACAGACGCTGATATAAAAGCATAAAAAATATCCAGCGGAATGCAATTTTGATCATTTTTGTCCAATCTATACTTTATTCTCAACGTACGCGATTTTTTCAGGTTTTTTCAGCTTTACTTTTGAAGATAAGTTGAGGGACAGAAGCTTTTAGAAAAAAAGTGTTAATGAAAAAGTAACACAAAGGAATGTAATATATTTTTAAAATCGTGCTTTAAAGAGCTTTCATTTGATACTTCACACGATGGTATTAGAAAAAATCTGATGTGTCCAACACATGACTTTCCTATCTAGTTATTACAGGCTTTTTCCGGTTATTTTGTACAACCTATTGCAGCACTTCTATAAATGTTTAGAGGATAAACTAAATATATACATTTTCCACATACATCTACCTCGAAACATTTTTCTCGAAACATTTTTCTATAGATATTCTTTGAAAACAAAAATACTGAAAAATTTAAATTTAGCACATTTCCTACAATTTTTCCATTACGGTCCATTTTAGAAAAATCATGTATAAACAAAAATTATAGAGATCGATATCGCAAAAAACTTTTAGTTATTAGAAGTAACTTTTATTTGAACAATTTTCTTCTCCAAACATAAATAACAGATATATTCCATAAAATATAAAAACGGCCTCCCAGAAAGTACCCCCCAGATGTTCCGACTTTGTCCAAAATCTAATCATTTCACGTCAGGCCGAAATAAAACTTAAGTTTAAAATTTAATGTTCTTTTCTTTATCCGTTTTTGAGTTTTCTTCAAATTTCGAAATTTACTTGTTTGAACAATTTTTATAAAAAAATATTTTTTTGTCAAATTTCTCGAATACGGACCATTTTAGGAAAATTTTGTTTGGAACAAAAATTATAGATAATAATATAAGAAGTAACTTTTATTTGAAGAATTTTCTTCCCAAAACGTAAATAACAGATATATTCCATAAAATATAAAAATGACCACCTATAAAGTACCCCCCAGATGTTCCGACTCTACCCAAAATCTAATCTGCTCATTGGACGCTGGAACAAAGCTTATGTTTAAAATTTGGTGTTTTTCGGTGAATCGGTTCATGAGTTATGCGACACACAGACACACACAGACACCATCGCGAAAATAGTCAAAACGGATTCAGGGGACCTCAAAACGTAAAAATCCGTCGAAAACTCGAGTGCGATGTACAGAATATTTTATCTATGACCCACTAAAGAGTTATTAAGACAAAATAACTAATTTTAAAATAATTTATGACTTTTAATAATTGTTATATTAAAATAAATGAAAAAAAAAAAAAAAGTTTTTCATTTTTCCCCATCCGAGAATCGAACTCGAGTCTTTCGTGTGGAAGGCAAGAACGCTGACCACAGTACCATCTATTCTTTTATTTTTGTTAATACTCGTAATTTAACTGACTTCATATTGTTTTATTTAAATTTAAAAATTATTTATATTTAGAGACGAAATAAAAATATAAATTCTATTATTTATCGATTCTACACAAAAATAACTCATTTTAATGTATGTTTAATCTCAATAGCTAAAAAATATACTGACAATCAGTTTGACAGAATCGTCACTTATTTAAAACTTTAAAAATAATAGCAGTCGGTTGATCAAAATATGAACTGTGATTGGTGGATTTTATTTTTTTGTAGTGTTCTCACTACCTAGAATCAATATGAAATATATTCGATCAATTGAAGGCAATAGCATACTTTTTCGTTTTGTACTATAGTAGATAAGTTAATATCCATGTGGGTGTAGAAAAAATAATTTATGGCTTTTACTAATTCATAAAATAAAATAGAATTTGAAAAAAAAAGATTTTATTTAATTAGTCTTCAATCCTAGAGTTGAATCCAGTAACTTTCGCATGGAAACTCAGTACAATACCCTCAGATATTCTATTATTTATCGATTCTACACAAGAATAACTAATTTTATTGTATGTTTAATCTCAATAACTAAAAAATATACTGACAATTAGTTTGACAGAATTGTCACTTATTTAAAATTTTAAAAATAGTAGCAGTCGGTTGATCAAAATATGAACTGCGGTTGGTTGATTTCATTTTTGTCCAGTGTTTTCGCTACCTAGAATGGATATGAAATATATTCGTTCAGTTGAAGGCAATAGCATACTTTTTCGTTTTTTTAATCTGTGCGTAGTTAAGCTAATATTCATGTGGGTGTAGAAAAAATATATATTCGTTCAGTTGAGCGCAGTGGCCTACTTTTTCGTTTTGTAGTATGTGCGCAGAATAGCTATTAAGGCCACTATTTCAAATTTCAATCGTGTACGTCAAATTGTATTTGAGTAAAAGCTTGGGACAGACAGACAAACTGAAATGTTCCTTTCTACTAAATTGAAGATTGAACACTAAAAGAGTATACAGGTACGGAATTTTCAACTTAGAACGTATACTTTACAATAAATTAAATAAAGTTTACTAGGAACATGCACATAACAGATAGAGATCGGTATAAGCGAGAATCGATATGACTTCGACATCTGCTCGCTCAACCACATACATCAGACACAGATTTATGAGCGGTGAGCAATAGAAGTATCTGCCTGTGATGTACCTTGTTCAACTCATTGTTAGATACAGTTTCCGTTTTGAAAATTTTATACCTATATATTATAACTAATTATCGAAAAATACCACTATTGTTTTTTTAATTTTTATATTTTCATTATTTCAGATAAGGATCTGATTTTCAGTTTTTTACCCAGCACAATGAAATTGCAAAGATATGAGGACAGCCTTTATTATTTTGGAACAATTTTTAAAGTAAGTTTAACTTAACTCAATATGAAATAAGTACTAATTATATCATTCATTAATTTAAATTGTTTATTTTAGGGAAACTTCTTTCAATCCATGCAGTTTTGTAAATACCACGGAATGGATTTAGTCAGCATCGATAACAAAGAAGAAAACAATTTTATTTATGACTTCTTGTCAGGTTTCTGTAAGTATTATTTGTATTTTCTTGAAAACATGCTCAAAGCGTAAACAAACCAACACTCTCTTCACTTCATTATTTTTATAAATATACCTATTGATGAAGCGAATTTCACCATTAAAATTAAATCAGAAATAAAAAAATTACAGTGTGTATAAATAACAATCAAATTGGGATAGATTTTTCTTCTTGTCTTTCTAATCCGGTATGTTTTTTGAGCCGCTATGTTATGTTGTTAACTTATAAACATTTTGCATTTATTTACTTCTTTGTCTTCTCTCTTCTTTTGGTTTTCCTTTCCTATTCGTGTCTTACGTTTCTTTTATTCTCATAAATTTCTTTTAATATTTTTATTAATCCTCATGCCTCAGGTTTAGATTTATTTATTTTTTTAGTGTCATCTGGAGATTACTTGTTCTGGTCATCAGGAGTAAAAACCGAACCAGACAACCACTGGGTATGGATGGGTACAGGAAAACCCATGACGTACATAAATTGGTTACCTGGTCAACCTGGTAATACTGCAAATGAACGGTACATGGAAATAAGATACGTAAATGGTAATAGAGGGATGGTTTTCAACGATCAAATTGCTGGACAAGCTAACCATGTGATTTGCGAAATCTCTGTTCCTAGAGCTGTTGGTTTATAAGTATTAATTTAAAATTGTATTACTAAGATAATTTCAATAAAATAATTATGTACTTATTCCACTAATATTATTATACCATTTTATATTATACCTAAATCCCTGGCGTCCAAAATATGTCGACTATGTCGTGGCAAAGATAAATAACTCTGACGTTATTTCTATTAAAAGGATTAGAACAACTGATTAATCAGCATGTCCGGCAAATCACTCTGATAAAGAGGATATTCATACAAACCAACATGCCTATCAATCAAGAAAATTTTGTGAGTCTGTTCTGCATCATCTTATAACCAAGATAGAGGGGGGGACTCAGTAGCCAAGAAATAGCCCTAGGAGCAATTTTCTTGACACAGGAGTTTTTGATAATACCTCCTTTAAATCAATGGTAGCTGTTCGCAAACATGGAAAAGAAGACACCATCTGATGGTGGAGCGATGACATGTTACGCGGACGGCAAGTACAGGCACAAATGTTTAGTGAAACCATGCAGGTGAATATCCACAGGGCAAGCTCACAGGGTGGAATCCTTTCTCCCCTACTGTGGAACCTAGTGGCAGATATACTGCAGCGAACACTGAATAATCAATGATCCCATATTACACATAGGATCAGATCATATGAAACCCCAACAAACCTTCAACAGACTCGTTCAGGTCAACTGCAACTGAAACGAGGTAAATAAGGAGGTAGAGAAATAATTCTTTAGCGGTCTCGTATGTTAGATGAATCTAAAGTAACAAGAGAACAGGCTCAGGCGTACATGGAGTTAAACTAAAATGCGACATCATCGTCTTACTGGGAAAACGTACCACTGCATTTCAGACTAAAATACATGCAATCGAATTGGGTGTACGAGAGAATTTTAGAAGGAATTACAAAAAACAAACCATCTTAATTCTCTCAAAGGCTTTTTATTCAAACAGAAACAAGTCAAAGCTAGTTTGGAACTGCCTTGGAATACTAAATGATCTGACAACCCACAATTAGGTAAAACTATCGTGGGTACCAGGATACAAAGGTATCCAAGAAACTGAAAAGACTGATGAACTTACAAAGAGGGAACAGAACTACCATTCAACAGTTACCTCGAAAGCGTCTTATGGAGTTGTTTTGCCTAATATAAAGTGGTTTGAGTAAGAAAACTCAAAATTTAATAGATACAATTAAAAGGACCAGAGGTATTTAAATAGATGTTTTGAAACATTTTGTATAAAAAAGACATAATAACCATTAAACTTAAAAATAAATGTTTATTTTATAGGACCTAATATAATATCCTTTATAATCTAAAGAAAATATTAAATAGGGCAACACCGTATAACTGTAAAAAAAGGAATGGACAGGCGGCAGGTATACGCGCTGCCACCTAATGTATACTTTCCTTTCATGAGACATTTTTTAATTTTTAATGATTTTACTGTGATTTCAGTATCTTAAACTATGAAATGGAATAATATATTTAATTTAGCTAGTTTAAAATTGTTTACTCACTTAAGTTGTACGTATGTTAAAAGGAATTAAATAAGTAAAACAGGTTAGTTTATTATCGATTTCAATTTTGCAGAGTAAAATTAATAATAATTTTGAAATTTTGGTATTAATATAGACTTGAGGTACAGTTTAGTTTAACAAAAGTGTTTAGATTATGTTTAGTTGTGAATTCAAAGGATAAACAAAGTTTCATAAAAAAAAAGGAATAAATAGTTTAATCAGTATAAAATTCAATGATTGGTTAGGATAGCGAGCTCTTATTGGCTGAAATCACAAAATTTTACTATTTTAACAGATACAAAAATAATCATTATAAAAATCAGATATTATCCTCAATCTGCTAAATATTTTTCTTTTTTTATCATATCCTTAATTTTATTCGTAAACAGTGGTGGCTCGTGGGGTGGTTCACAGTGACAGAATTTAAGTATCAGTACAGATGTATGAAAAAACTTTCGAGTGTTTTAAAAAGTTTATAATATACGGTTCTAAAACAGTGACAGTTTTTTACCTATATCTGTAACGGGATCTATATTCTGCTACTGTGAACCCCCAAAATTTTGGCCAGGAGCCGCCCCTGTTCGTAAACCAATCTGGAAACGATTTAGATCTGTTATATACAACAAATTTAGGTACACAATTATCAAATATTTTATTTCCTATATTGAAAAATTCCTGTAAACTTTTTTCCAGTTTGCATCTCTAATACTTTGGTTTAACCCAAGAAAATTAACTCATGATAAAAAAAAGAATCAGAACATTAAAAATACTCATTATAAAAAAATAAAGGTAAATTAATTGAAAGAAAATCAACTTTATTTAAAATAATCTTATTAAAGTCATAAATTTTCTTGATAAAAATTCTATAAAGTTGGTTTAATGCAGAAACTTTACGAAGTATGTAAAGGTTATGAGCGAAAGTTTTCCACATATAACTAAGAGAGCGAAGACAAACGAAATACTTCTATAATGATTTATAGTTCCGCCGTTTAAGGTAAGGCCAACCCTTTAGTCACAAAGCGGAAACTAACTAAGAAGTGACAGAAGGTATTTGCTGATATATATTCCGCCTGCAAAGTCTCTTCTAAGACATTTTGCGCGACAATATAGAACCAACTAATGCTTTTCTGACCAAACTACATAAATAATCTGCGAGGGGCAATTAAGATAAGGACGTGTTTAATATTTCAATGTGCTTATAGGAATAGATATTGGGGTCCGTGAGTATATATTGCTTAGGTGTTAAGACTATTCTAAATCCCCACCACTTTAATTAATTCTGTATTTTCCTTTCCCTTACATTATTGCCTCGCGAGTGTATCGGTACACAACTTGATGCCGTGAATTTTCAATAACATTGGCGGCGCTTTATTTTATTTTCTCTTTCAAAATCGTAATTATTCACCATGCATACAGTTCCATGTATTATTACGGATCGACAAATGCAGTGACTAGTCCGGTATTCCACAAGGATCTTATATTGACCCTGTCTTATTTTTCTTATTTCTGAATGACGCAGCAGCTTGCTTTTTAAAAGAGTGACTGCTTATTATTTATCACAAAGATTGGTGAAAACTCAACTCAACCTCCATCGCTTCACTATGTATTGCAAACGATATGCCTTTAAATGTTAATAAATATACTACAATTCACTTAACAAGATCTTCCAAACCTCTTCAGAACTCTTAGAAGATCGATAATGTGACAATAAAAATTTCTGCTTAGTAAACGATATCGGTATCATCTTTTACACAGTGCATATCGACTTATAAACTTATCTTTTCTGTAAGGTCAATTTCCTAATTTATTACTAGTTGGGAAAGTTATCCCGATACACAAAAAAGGTTTCACTAATTGAATGGTTCCATTTTAATTGAGTCGAGTTTTTCAAAAGCATTTGAATACGAATTTCTAGATCGTACCCTCAAATTTCTTTAGGTACTTGTTCGATGGTCGCTGCAGAGACATACTGCAGCTGCAAGTGGCAGAAACAAGAAAGAGGCAGAGATACTACCGTTTTAATGAAAGTAAATACGATGCCATTTAATGCGGGCGACAGCAGCAACTACCTCTACATCGACGACTGCCGCCACGCCACAGACAGCAGCATTACTGGTACTGACTACTGACACTGACGAAGACACACGCCCAAGGGTCCGAGACAGGCCAAGATAATTACTAAAATCCTGCTGTTTCCAGCGCTGCTCCCAAAAATATGCTGCACCTACATTGAACTACATCGCATTTACTTTACCTAAAACGCTAGTGTCTCTGCCTCATTCTTGTCTCTGCCGCTTGTAGCTGCAGCATGTCTCTGCAGCGACTATTGAACGAGTATAAATAAATTTAATATTTTAACACATGGTCAATACGGGATTCGCGAGAGTAGTTCGACTAACACTGCAATAATTTCATTCTTTGACAGAATCTTGGACTGCCTTGAGGCTGGCAAATATCCTGCAGGGATATTTTGTGATGTAAAGGGAATTGAACTGTGTAAATCATAATGTGTAAATTATAATATTGTTAAAATTATACAATTATAGCTATATCCCTAAATTAATTTTCATCATTTTTTCCGATCGCAGCCAATATCTGTAACGTGCGGAGGGTGGGTTACCCCCACGGCAGTTATGCCCCACTACGCCCATTGTGCATTCTCCTAAGATGATAGGCACCTTCTAGCTCGTGAGCCAGCCTAAAGATTTGATGTAGTTGACAACGTCGCCAAGAGGTGCTTCTCTTATATCGGCCGGTTTTAGCCGATATTCGCCGAACACAAATCTTCTAATAAATTATAGCGTGAAACATTCGTAAAGCATATGCCTGATGGTTTTATCTTCTTATTCTCACCCTCTGCAGAGTGCGGATTCTGATAGTCCCATGATATGGAGATGCTTCCGTACTTGGCTATGACCAGTCAGATGCATATGTGACTAGGCGCAGATTCTGTCTAGTCATAGTCAAGTATTTGTTTGCTGCAGTGTTGTCAGGATAACTTAAGAGCTCCCTGGCAACTCTGCAGTTTCTTCTTTCATCCCATCTTTCCTTGAATTTCACAAGGGAATGTTCTTTAATTAGGTCTGTCACTACCGATTTTTGTCAGGCCAATAGAAGGGCCAGATCCAAAAAGTATTTGGTTGGCTGCTTTATTGGCTAGTGAATCAGCAAGACAGTTACCTTTCGATGTGGCGTGACCTTTGATCCATCTTAAGGTGACCACATTGTTGATGGATACTTCGGCCAAAGCTTCGTGATATTCTAGTACTAACCCTGAATAAATTTGTGGTCTGTTCAGGGTGAGTAGTGCTTGTCTGCTATCTGTATGGATGAGCATGTTCCTTCCAGTGATATTGTTTCTGGTGATTTCTTCTGCTGCTATGAGAATCCCCGTTAGCTCTGTTTGAACTTCACTGGCACTATTGCCCACAACCTATTTTATGTTTAGGTTTAAGAATCTGGAGGATATTCCACATCCTGAGTCTTGTTTTGTTTCAGAACCGTCAGTAAAGATATGAATGGTACCTGCCACTTACTGCTCTTCT